GGGGGGGGGGGGGCCCCAAGGGTACCACGAGGGTCCTCGAGGGGGGCAGAGGGAGAAATGAGCCCGGCAACACTGGGACGATGGGGCCTCGGCCAAGAGTGTGGGGAGCCCCCCGGGGCCGGGCGGTGCAGGGGGAACCCCCCGGGAGGAGCCAGCCCTGCCCCTCCTCAGCTTTGGCCCCGAGCCTCGTGGTGGAGCCCCGACCTGCAGGGACCGCAGGGTCTGTTCACGTCGCTTGAAGGCACGCAGCCTGCAGTCAGCGTCCCGGCAGCAGTGGGTGAGAAGGCAGCCGCTCAGGCAGCCGCGGTCTTTCCCCTCTGCCTGCTCTGGGGCTCCGTGTCTGAGGTCTGCCCCGCACGTGCCTCAGGGCTGGGCCAGCTTCCTCTCAGCACCACACTCCTGGACGTGCTGCTACTGCCTGATCAGGGATTCACGCCTCTTTGTCGCCAGCGGGGCCCTGTGGATGCCGGGCTGTCCACCCACGCCCGGCGGACAGACGCCTGGTCGTTCCCGGCCTCTTCTTGAGCAGCTCTGCTGCGCCCAGCACGGCCGTGTCTTCCAGGGGGCGTCCCACTGCCCTTGGGCATAGCCCGGGGGCACATGGCTAGGGGCAGGGGCCCTCACAGTCATTGCCCTACAGCTTTCCCTCTGCTCCTGCCCTGGGGAGAGGGTCCCGCTGCCCACGTGCGCTGAGTGAGATCCCTGCCAGGCTCCATCTGAGGCTGGTCCATGCCGGGGGTGCCGTCAGTAGGGGTGGTGCCCGGAGCCCAGAGCCTGACGGCGTGGCTTTTGTAGTTTGGACGCCACCGCTGGGTCCTGGCCCCCAGCCCCCAGCTCCAGCCTGCTGCCGCCCGTCGGCTGTCCTGGCAGCCCCACGCCCAGCACCATGGAGGCTAGGAGCTGTTTCTCTGCTCTCAAGATGTGTGGTCCTGAAGAGGCAGCAGCCTGGCGTCGGGGACGGGGCAGCTGGCTGCTGTCTGTCTGCGGTGGGACAGTGCCAGATGAGGCCTGCTCCCTTCCCCCCACGACTCAGAGGTCCCCGGCACCCTCAAAGCCTGTGAAAGACAAGTCCCCCCGGTCCCCTGCACACAGCGCCAGCAGGCACATCCCCTGTGTGCGCCAGGGAGCAGGGCCCTCCCTGATTCAGTGAGCATTTGGCTGGAAGTCCACTTGCCTTCGGCTCAAGGCCGGCCCCCCCCGCCCCGGACCCTGCATTAGCCACACAGAGAAGTGCCCAAGGCGCAGCTTTTCTGCAAGGACGTTCCCCGCCAGCACCCCTGACCACGCCTGAGACATAGCAGGCCGAGCACTTGCACAGCCGTCTCATGTCCCCCACATGGGCCTCTAGGAACATCCTGTGGTCATCCCCACTGCAGAGGACGAAGCTGAGGCTGGCGTGGAGTCCTGTCCAAGGCCAGTGGCCAGCAAGGCTGGAGCCGCCAGCCCGGTCAGCGGTTCCCAGCCCCCAGGAGCCCGCGCCTGCCTACGGGGCCCAGCAGGGGGCAGCAGCGCCTCGGGATGCCGGATGCCGGGCCCGGACCGGGGGCGTCTCTGCCGCAGCTGGAATGGCGCTCCCGTGGTCACGCCTGAGGCGGCTCTGCTAACATGTCCCGGGCCAGCCCAGCGGAACAGACGGAAACGCTGGCCCGAGTCCGCCTGGCTCCCAGGCCCAACGGCGAGCCGCCAGGATGCCTGATTTTGGGTCTGTGATGTGGCAGCAGCATTTTCGGGTGGGTGCCGGCCAGGTCCCTGACTTTGCCCCAGCAGATGGGCAGCTCTTTGGCCGCAGCCTGAAGGTGGCGGCCCCCGACCTGCCCGCGTCCAAACTCGCCCGAGCCGGCCTCTCTCAGGGCTCCCCAACCCCGTGACGTGGGACGTGTGCAGCCCAGACTCTGCCGTGGGGACGCCCGCCCACCGTGTCCCGGGCTCCAGGCCGCAGGCCCCTGGCCACCCACCCTGAGGCGGGCCCAGGCCCTGGGAGATTCCCGAGCCCACTCCCGGGCCGTAGCGGCGCAGCAGCCGGCACACAGCTGCGGTCTGGGGGTGTCTGCTGCTAGGCCTCCCGCGTGACCCCTGCCAATGGCACCCCCCTGCCCCGGCCCACGCCCGGGGCCCGGCTGGCTGGAAGGGACTGTTTTCTCCCAAAGGACTGGCCGGTGCTGGGGCAGAAGCCAGAGCGTTCGCCCAGCATTTACTGAGTGCCTACTGTGTGCTAGGCCCAGTACTCGCTGCAGGGGAGCTGGAGGAAGCAGGCCGCTCCCGGGCCCGCTCAGCCGCCTCTTCAGCCCTGCGTGGGGTGGCCCGGGATGAGCCCAGAGAGACCGTGGACGCCAGAGCTGGCGACGAGATGCCCACTGGGGTGGACCAGTGACCAAGCCACAGACTGACCACCCCCCAGTGGGCAAGCAGCAGGGCAGCGGGGCAGCGTCTCAAGTTGGATATGCACCTCCCACGTGACCCAGAGAAACGTGAAAACACAAGCGTGGTGAACACACACTCATGTGTTCACAGCAGCTTCACGCATCAGCGTCACCGACTGGACACGACCCATGTCCCTCAGCTGGGGACCAACTGGTCCCTCGCACAGCGGACGCTGTGCTGAGACGGCGCGCGCCAGGCTCACGGGGCGGCCGGGTGGGGCTCAGACGTGCGGCGCCAAGGGGAGCCATCCGTGACCTTCCAGCGAAGGCGCACATGCGGTCACAGAGCAGACCAGGCGGGTGGGGCGGGGTACCCAGGCAGCTCGTGGAGCTGTTCATCAGGTGTGCAAATCACACGTTAACGTCGTAAAAAACTGGAGCAGGGACCACATGGCCGTGCTCCAGGGAGGCACAGGGCTTGCCGGGGGCCGGGCCCCAGGGTGGCCCTCCCTGGCTAGGAGGTGGGCCCCCACGCCGGGTGGCTTCTCCTGGGCGGTGCCCTGTGGAGGGTGTCCCCTGGGCACGGGTGGCACTAGGGATAGCCCCTCCAGCCGCCTCCCCAGAAGGGCCAGGACCTGGTTTCCGGGTTCTGCTCCCCAAGAGGCTGGCACGAGAGCCCTGGGAGCCCCGGTCCTCCACCACTCAGGTTCCCAGCTGCTCCAGCTGAAACGGCCAAAGGGGCCGGTGGGGAAAGGTTGGAGGCCGAGGGTCAGTGGGTGCAGGCTGGGCTGAGCGCGGTGCTGCTAGGACTCAAAGCCCCTCGTCCGGTGTTCCAGGAACATCACAGGCTTTGGGAACAGCACACGTGGCGGGTGCTTCTGGGTGTGAACGTGGGTGTGGACACAGGTGTGAACCTGAGATCTGTGTGTGACTGAGTGCATCTGAGAGCACACGCTTGTGAACGTGTGTGATTTGTGGCTACACGCACCATGGGGGCGTGTGTGAGCCCGTGTGAACACGCAGGGGTTGTGTCAGGGCGGCACCAGGAGGGGGACAGAAGCACCTGCCTCGTGTGTGGTTCCAGCCCCGCCAGGGATGCCTCAGCCCTGTATGCCCCGCGCCTGAGCTCCCTCCACAGTCCCACCGCGTCCCCACCACACAGACGGGGACAGGTGCGGGGGCCCCGCCACTCCCCCCGGGAGCCCCCGGCCCACCGCCCCCAGGGCTCCACGCTCTCCGAAGGGGGCTGAACCCACGAGGCAGGGCCGGCCGAGCCGCACAGGAAGCGCTGAGTGTTTTGGCGACGGGGGCGGCCGGCCCTCCGGACAACAGGGGCCCTTGTCACCCATGAAAGGCGGCCATTGAGGCTCTGGCTGCAGGCGGGGACGGTCCGGGGACGGAGCCAGGAGCAGCTGTTACCCGGGGTCACCCCGGCGAGGGGCCTGCAGGGCAGCAGAGGTGCAGCCCGGCCCCGGCGCGCCCAAGCCTCGGTCCCGTTATCCCGGGGCGAGCACCTCCCGCACCCGTGACCTCCGCCAGGCTGGCACCTGCCGCCACACCCACCACCACAGCGGAACCAGCAAAGCCAGGCTGGCGCCCCAGCAGCGCCGAGGCCGCCGCCGTCCTACCCGGAGGCCATGCCCCCACTCTGGGGGTTGCTGGCCGGTCCCCACCCAGGTCACATCTGTCCACAGCGGTTTCGCTGTGGTGACGTCTCCCCCACGGCCACTTAGCGGGAACTTGTGTCCCCTCCCTCCCCTCACAGTTGGGTTCCTTGTTATCACAGGGACCCGTGGAGACGCGCTTCGCTCCGGCTCAGACCCTGTGACGCCGCTGCCGTGCTGTTGCTCAAACCGTCCAGCTCGGCCCGGCAGCCCCACTTCCTCCGTGGATGCCCTAAGCGCACCGGGCGGGGGCTGGGCTGGCCTGAGGCCCCGGCAGGTGTCGTGTTGGGAGGGACCCCCGCCACCCACCGAGGGTCCCCAGCAGCCCCCCAAGCCCACCCCAGGCAGGTGGGCACCCCGGCCCGGCCTCCCTTGGCCACGTCACACCTTGGAGTGGCCCTGCCCTGGCCCCGCGGTCCCCCTCCCTGGCACATCCCCATTCTCGGGGACCGTGGGCATGTTGGCCCCTGTGCCGTGGGAAAGGCGCTCCTGGGGGGGCTGGGCCTTGCCAGGGACGTGGCCGGGGCGGG